AAAAAAAAAAAAAAAAAAAAAAAAAAAAAAAGAAGAAAAAAAAACAAAAAACAAAACAGTACAAAGCAAGCACGTTCCTTTGCTCGACAATCGACACGGTGTGTCTTGCTGTTAAATGCTTGCAGTGTTGGCCAGATTATAAAAATCTAAAGTGTGCTTTGGTACATGTGTCACTCTGTGCAACTGGCCTCGGCTGCTCTGTCACTGCTAGGTATCACCGTCGTTCCCGTGTGTTCCTGGGCCTGCCTCTGCCTTTCATGGTGTCCATCTCTTCTAAGTGGGCGTGTATAGCACCCAGGGTCTTCTTGCACGGTTTAGACGCAGGATGGACACTTTGGAGGCCTGGAGCTCAAGTGTTTCGTGACATTCTGTATCTAGGGATGCCGTAGCGGTGGTTACAGAGCACAGGAAGCAGCTCTGGCAGTACAAGATATTAGGTTTGTTTGTTTGTTTGTTTGTTTTTTGTTTTTCCTTTTCCAGAGCTGAGGACCAAACCCGGGGCCTTGAGCTAAATCCCCAAAACCTTTTTTCCCTTTTATTGAAAGTAGTTTTTTTTTTTCCCTCTCACATAATATATCCTGAATATGTTTCCCCACCTTCTACTCCTCCCAGGTCCTGCTCACCTCCCCTTCCATCCTGATCTACTCCTTTTCTGTCTCTCATTAGAAGACAAATAGGCTTCTAAGGGATAATAATAAAATTTTAAAAATTAAAAAGAAGAATCAAAACTAACACATTGGGATTGGACAGAACGACCACCAGGAAAAGAGCGCAAGAGAAGGCACAAGAACCAGAGACTTACTCGTTCGCCCTCTCAGGAATCCCGTAAAAAATACTGAATTGGAAGCCATCGTATATACGTAGAGGAACTGGTGCAAACCCTTCAGGCCCCTGTGCATGCGGCTTCCATCTCTGTGAGTTCAGACGAGCTTTGCTCATACAGATTCAGAGGGCCTTGACTCCTGGGTATCCTCCATCCTCTCTGGTTCTTACATTCTCTCTGCCTCCTTTTCTGCCTGAGCCCTAAGGGGAGGGGTTTGATGGAGACATCCCATTTAGGGCTGAGGGTTCCAAGGTCTCCCACTCCCTGAATAATGTCTGGATGTGGGTCTCTGTGTTTGTTCCCGTCTGCTGTGGAGGAAACTTCTCTTCTGATGGCCAAGCAAGGCACTGGTCTAGGAGTAGAGCAGATTGTTATTAGGAGTCATTTTATCTTATTGCTACTTTTTCTTTTTTTCTTAAGAAGAGTAGTATTTGGTTTTCTCTCAGGTTCGTGCGCTATCTAGTCTCAGATTCTTGGTCACCAAGCAACGTGGGTTATGGCTTCCATCTCATGGACTAGGCAAATGTTGGTTGGATGCTCCCACAAGCTTTGTGCCGTCATGGCACTGGTGTTATCTTGTAGACAGGACACCACTGTAGACCAAAGCATTTGTGGCTGGGTTGGTACTTACATTTCTCTATTAGTAGTACAGAGTGCCTTCCTGTACCAAACATGCCAACAGGTACGGGCAAAGGCTCTGTCTAGACACTAGTTCAACCTCTCAATGTTCAATGAGTTGTGTGATATCTTCAGCAATGAGGCCTTGTTATCCTTTTATGGAGAGCAACCTGTATATAGTCTTGGCAACAGCCTAGGTTGTTTGGGGATTCAATGGGACCCCTTTGCCCAACAACAATAGATGTAACTCAATCCCAGTGCTGGAAGCTCCATTTGGTGACAAAAGATGTCTAGCTGGGGCTCTGTCTGCCCCATTATTTGGCAATTTAAAATAAGTCACCTCGGTATGTGTATATTTTTAGGAGGATTCTACTGTATTAGCTTTACATATTACCCTCAAATCTCCCTTAGTTTTAGCTGTCTCTCTCTGTATTACCTCTCTTGTCTCCCTCTTCTCCCACTCCCTGCTTGATCCTCCCATTTCAGCGCCCCCCCCCATCCACCCAAAACTACCTATTCTGTTTTCCTTTCCTAATGAGATCTGTCTCCTAGAGTCCCTTACTATATACCTAACCTCTGTGATTCTACAGATTGTAGTTTTGTTATCATTGATTTAACAGCTAATATCCACATATAAGCAAATAATACCATATTTGTCTTTTTTGGTCTGGATTACCTCACTCAGGATGATTTTTTTTCTAGTTCTATCCATTTACTTATGAATCTCACGAGTTCATTCTTTTAAATGACTGAGTAATACTCCATTGTATAATGCACTACATTTTCTCGATCCATTCTTCTGTTGAGGGACATCTAGGTTGTTTCCAGTTTCTGGCTATTATGAATAGAGCAGCAATGAGCATGGTTGAGCAAGTGTCTCCTTGTTTGCATGAAGCATCCTTTGGGTATCTGCCCAATTGCAGTACATCTGAATCTTAAGTAGACCAGTTCCCATCTTCCCGTGGAACCACCACACTTACTTCCGTAGTGGCTGTACAAGTTTGTACTCCCACCAGCAAGGGAGGAGTGTTCCCCTTGCTCCACATCCTCACCAGCATGAGCTGTCACTTGTTTCATTGATCTTAGCCATTCTGACGGGTGTGAGATGAAATCTCAAAGTAGTTTTAATTCCCATTTCCCTGATGGCTAAGGATGTTGAACATTTCTTAGTGTTTCTTAGCAATTTGTGTTTCCTCTTTTGAGAATTGTCTGTTTAGATATGTACCCCACTTTTTAATTGGGTTATTTTTTTTGATATCTAGTTTTTTTGAGTTCTTTATATACTTTGGATATTAGCTCTCTATCAGATGTGTAGTTGGTAGGGATCTTTTCCCATTCTGCAGGCCGCTGCTTTGTCTGAATGATGGTGTCCTTTGCTGAGCAGAAGGTTTTCAGTTTGTTCAGGTCCCATTATTAGTTGTTGATCTTAGAGCCTGTACTAACAGTGTTCTGCTTGCTGTGGACTTCCTTTTCTGGTCCAATCTGTTGGTGTTCTGTACACTTCTTGTACCTTGATAGGCATCTCCTTCTTTAGGTTGGGGATTTTTTTCTATGATTTTGTTGAAAATATTTTCTTTGCTTTTAATCTACCTTTCTTCTCCTTCCTTTATTCCTGTTATTCTTAGATTTGGTCTTCTCTCATTTTCCCAGATTTCTTGGATGTTTTGTGCCAGAATTTTTTTAAAAAATTTTTTTTCTTTCACTGATGCATCCATTTCTTCTATCTTGTTTTCAGTGCCTGAGATTCACTTTCCCATCTCTTGTATTCTGTTCGCGAGGCTTTCCTCTGAGTTTTCTGTTCCCGTTCCTAAAGTTTTCATTTCCAGATTTCCCTCAGTTTGGGTTTTCTTTATTGATTCTGTTCCCACTTTCAGATCTTGAACTGCTTTATTCATTTCCTTCCACTGTATGTTTGTGTTTTCATCGATTTCTTTGAGGAATTTATTCATTTCCCCTTTAAGGATTGCTATCCTATTCATAAAAGCTATTTTAAGGTCTTTATCTTGTATTTGAGCTATGTTGCAGTACTCAGGGCCTGCTGCGATAGCTTTGCTGAGTTCTGATGGAGACACATTGTCCTGTTATTCATTGTATTTTTATGCTGGCATCTAGGCATCTGGGATTGGAAAGGTTGTAATTCTAGGTGCTGATATCTGATCTTGTCTTTGTTGGATAGGCGTTTTGTTTCTTGATTTCTGTTGCCCTCTCTGCTTCTTAGGAGAGTGTGGTGGCTGTGTGTAGCCTGGTAGGAAGTTCTTCTTGGATCCTGATAGTTGTGGCCACTGGGAGTTCCAGGTAAAATGTGTTTATAGGTATTGGGAGCTGACACTTAGGAATGAGGATGGACTAGGTGGGGTGGGAGACTGAGGTGGTCCACAGGAGGGAGGAAAGCAGGGTGGTCCCGCCAGGGTCTGCTTAGTCCCCTGGGAATGGGGACAGAGAGTGAGGAGAGGTCAGAGCACAGGGTCTGCTTCTAAGCTAGGGATGAGACTGGGGGATTGGACTTGGAAGACTGGAAGGAGAGGTTTGCTCCTGTTTGCTTTCTTGGCTGAAGTGGCCTGGGGGTTGCCAGGGCATGCCTGCAGAAGGTGGGGGCTGGGGTAAGGCAATGATTCAGGGGAGGGAAGTTAGGAGGGGAAGATCTGTGTCATTCACTGGAGACGATGAGGAAGGAGGTGAAGGAAGGATGCCGCATTTGGTCTGTTGCAGAGTGTGTGTGGGGGGTGGAGATGAGGGGACTGGATTTGGAGGAGCAGGAGGAGAGGTTTAGTTCTGCGGTTAGTCTCCCTTCCTCCCTGGCTGGAATAACTTGTGGGTTCCCAGGGAATGCCTGCTGGATTTGGGGGCTTGGATAAAGCAATGAGTGAGGGAAGGGAGATCTGTGTGATAATTAGGTTTTATTAGCACCTGATAAATACAGACTCTTTGGGCTAAATATCGTCCACACCACTTAAAGTTTGTATGGGATTATACCACTAGCTTTTATTCTTGGATTTTGAGAATAGTTTTTTTTTTTTTCTTTTCTTTTCTTTTTTTCTGAGACAGGGTTTCTCTGTGTAGTATTGGTGCCTGTCCTGGATCTTGCTCTGTAGACCAGACTGGCATCGAACTCACAGAGATATGCCTGGCTCTGCCTCCTGAGTGCTGAGATTAAAGGCGTGCGCCACTGCTGCTGGGCAGTTTTTTTTTTTTTAAACTTTTTATTTTTTAAGTTGACTCTGGGGCCTCCTGCATACAAGGGCCTCCTATATACAAAAGAAGCTCTGTAGCTGAATCCCCAGCTCTAGACTTGTTTCTGGCAACATATTCATCAGTTTTTT